AAGAGACACGAAGCCAAGGATTCCCCCGATTGTCTCATATTCTCGGGTTCTCCTTCCCCCCCATTCCCACAGTTTCCCATATTTTCCTGGGGATCGGCGATTACTTGTGTCTCTGTGCGTTTCCCCTCTTAAACAAGGAACGCCGAAAAACAAGAGCAACATTCTTACAACATAAGGCCGGTTGCTTGAAACAAGACTGACTCAACCAGAAAAGTTCTAACACTCCGTGCAAACCAGAATAGGTTCTTAGGCAATTCTGAGGCAATCCGCCGGTGGGCCGATGAGCAAGTCGGGACGCGTCGCCACTGCTTGACCTTGGTCTCTCGTCCCCTCGCTCCCCCCTTTCCCTCCGCACGCCTACCTCCTCGCTGCTGCGGGCGTTCGCCCTTCTCTACTCCGCTCGCCTGCACTCCTCTCTTTCTCCTCCTCCTCTCGACCTGCCCCTCACCGCCCGATGTTTGAAAAAACGGGCCGCAACGCCGCACATGTGGGAGCATCGCAGTGCCACGCAATTCACAAGCAAATTCGATATTTGCCAACGGGCCCCCTCGCATTGCCCGCCGATTGGATTCTTTGACGCGTCAAAAGAGAAACGTGTGTGCGCATGCGTGTGCGTGTGTGCGTGTTTATGTTTGTGTTTGTGTTTGTGTTTGTGTCTGTGTGTTGTGTTTGTACTTGTGTTTGTGTTTGTGTGTGTTTGCGTTTGTGTTTGTCTGTGTGTTTGTGATTGTGTTGTTGTTTGTGATTGTGTTTGTGTTTGTGTTTGTGTGTATGTGCTTATGTGCTTATGTGTGTGTGTTGGTGTGTGTGGTGTGTGTGTGTGTGACTGCTGCGAGGCATTAAGTGGTCTCTGAGTGCTCGGGTGGGCTCAGACGAGTACGCGCTTTGTTGTTTTCCGACCTTCTACGCCCTGTCGCCGCGCGTAGGGCCGCGACGCCAACGAAGTTAATGTGTGTGCGTTTCGTGTGCGCTTTGCTGACTGTTGCACTTTCTCCGCCTCGTCGCTGCGCACGAGGCCGCTATCGCCAAAAAGTGTGTGTGTGTGTGTTGAGTGTGCGTGCGCGCGTGTCAAAAGGTGCTCCTGTCGTCCGCGCCTCACGCTGGTGCCATAGCCTGGCCGCTTCCTCTATACATCGCTCTAGTCCGCCCAGCGCCCCACCCAGCACCACATCGAAGAGGCTGGAGACAAAGGGTCACCCGCTTAGCCGCCCCGATACGCAACACGCAACACGTAGCGTATTGACACGGAGCTCAACACGTATCCTGAATACGCGGGTCCGACGCGATACATTCGCCAAAACGTGGTCCAATACGAGGAGCGGGCACGCAACGTATTGGCACGGACGTCTTGAGTACGGCACGTGTTGCGTATCAAAACGTGCGTGTCGAGGCAGCTAAGGTCACACGGGTCCCACTCGGGCGCACGCTAACACGGATTACGGATCGTGGTCCGGGCGCCCACCCAAAGCAGGAGTCCAGTGTTATGTCGGGCGTGTCCACCTACAGGGGGATTTTCGACGAAGAATAAAACATACCCCAAGAATAGTCAAGAAATAGTCCAAAAATAGTCGGGGGACTATTTTTGTTAGTATTTGTTTGACCTTTTTGGGGTATTTTTGGGGTATGTGTTGTTGTTCGTCGAAAATCCCCCTGTAGGGGGACACGCTCGATATAAGTCCAGTGCCGCCTGCCTCGGCGACGGAGCGCGCCGACTGTGCACGGAGGCGGGGCCCGTCGCCAACCCGCGCGCCTCCGCCCGCGTCTGCGCGTGCGCGGCCCACGCCTGCCCCTCCTTCGGGCGTTGCCAGAAGTAAGTGCCCCTGGCCCGAGGCTTACCAGCCTCGAACGTATCCCTATCCCCAAGACTGACACGCCGGAAGGCGATGACAATCTTGGGGATCCGCCCTCAAAACATAAAGGAGATCCCTAAGATTGGCATCGTGATGAGGAGGTGCCCAGCATAGGGATAGGGATATGTTCCAGGCTGGCAAAAGGTGCCCTCTCAGCTTCCCGCTCCGCTCTGGCGCCCCTGGGGCCCCCTTGGGCCCCGCGAGGGGCGCCCCTGCAGGCCGTCGGGGCCACCCCGGGACGCCTGGGGGGCACCTTGGGCCGGGGGGGGCACTCGCGCAACACCCGCATCTCGGCATGACGCCGGCGCCCCTCCGCCTGCAGGCACGCGCGCGCGGGAGCGACCAGGACGCGCGGCGCCCCCGGGGGGCGCTCCAGGGGCCCAGACCCCCTCGAGTAATGAAAAAATCACGACGGGAGGATTTTCCTAATTTTCGGCCTCTGGGGGCCCTCACCGGGCCTCGGGAGCGTCAAAAAACGACTCAGGACGAAAAACCGGTCCCGGGGAATGGGTCCGGACCTCTGGGGGTCGCGTCATGAAAAAATCATGACGTCGGGGGTCTGGGGGCGGAGGCGGAGCACGCGAGGCGCTCGGCAGGGCCAGGGCCAGAGAGAGCCCTGGCCGGCGTCGGCGCGCCACCCAACGAGACGCCGCGCGCCTGCCCCGAACGATGGAAACCTGCTACACCAGAGAAAAAGGCCAATCAGTGGATGGCTTGAATGAGCTGGGATCGAGAAAGAGATCGATAGTGAGATCGACCGGGAACCCGCGTCAACCCGGGAAACCTACAGGTTCCCCAATCAGTGCTTGCACTGAAGGGCCGCTATGGCGGAAGCTGAAAAATCTGGCGAACGTTGCCCGCCGACTTTGGTACGGCAGGTTCGTGTCGTGCCGACCCCAGCGTTGGTTTTTGACACCGCAGGGATCGTTCAACCTTGAACGATCGGCCGCTGCCGCAACGTCCGATCGTTCAACATCGATCGATTCTGGGTCGCCGGCGGCGTTCAACCTTGAACGTCCGCGCTGGGGTCGCCGCTGGTCGACACGACGCAAACCTACCGTAGCAGGCTGGGTTCCCGGGCTCCCGGGTTCCCGGGCTCCCGGGTCCCCGGTGATTGGTTCCAGGCCGAGGTCGGTGGGTTCGGGGATCCCGGGCTCCTGGGTCCCCGGTCGATCTCCTCAGCGAAAACCATCCACTGATTGGGTTTTTTCTATGGCGTAGTCTTTCGGCCAGCGCCCGCGCGCACACAACAACACTTCACTCCAGCGCACGAACACGTCCCAGTACGGACGCCATCGACCTGCCGATGCGGTGCTGCTGGACTGCTCGCGGTGCACCCGCACAACGTCGACGTGATCGCGCCGCCGTCGCCGCAGCATCCTGGCCTCAGCGCTCACGAACCCCATGGTGGCTTCTCGTGAGAGTACGGTGGCCATCATGTGACCAATTCCGAGAGCCCTGAATCCAGAAATGTTGGCGTCTCGCGTCTCTCTCATTTCTTTTTTTTTGGGGGGGGGGGAGAAGAAGAGAACGCAGCCACCTGACAATCCAACCACCCAGCGTCAGAGTGAAACGCGCAGAGCTCGAATCAGGCAATGTGATACAATTGCTCCACGGGCGCGCGCCTTTACAACCGCGTCTCGCGTCTCTCTCCTGTACTTCGGCCACCTTCCGCCGCACTTCCGCTCGCGGAGCCGCCCGCGCTCTGACTCCGCCAGCTTCCGCCGGCCTGCCGCCGAGAGCGAGAGTCACCGAAGGGCGCGACCTGTGGGCGCAACGTCTGGCCACCAAGCACTCGCGGGCCCCAGTGTACCAAGTTGAAACAGGTCCCCGTCCTTCATCACCTCAGGCCGATGCCGATCTTCAGGATCCCCGCAGTTTCTGCGGGCACGTCCCCAAGATTGTCCTGGCTTTTTGCTCGCCCATCTTAGGGATAGAGATGCAGTGGGGACTCGGCCACAAGAAACCTCCGCAAGAAACCCAACCCTGAGATCCGCGATTTGTTCAGTGAAAGTCCACATGTGTCGATCGAAGATCGTCAAGATCTGATTGGGAGCCCATCGAAATCCAAGAAACCCAGGGCACCCTGGCACAACCCAACCGGTTCCTTGGCACACGCGCCCCCACTGCAAGCTCAAGGCTGGATACCACTGCGTAACCAATGGCGCGACCCGTGCGCGAAACCTGCACAGCACCACGCAACCCAGACCCCCGACGTCGTGATTTTTTCATGACGTCGACCCCCAGAGGTCTGGACCCTTTCCCCGGAACCGGTTTTTCATCCTGAGTCGTTTTTTGACGCTTCCGCGGCCCGGTGAGGGCCCCCGGAGGCCGAAAATGAAGGAAAACCTCCCGTCATGATTTTTTCATTACTCGAGGGGGTCTGGGACCCGTGCGCGAAACCTGCACAGCACCACGCAAGGCGGAGCCCGCGGCGGGACCCCTGCGCGCCGCTTGACACGCACAACCCCACGGGGCAAAGACCTCCGGCCGCGAGGGGTCCTCTGACTACCCACCAGACCACCCCAACCCAACCCGAAGACCCGAATTTCGGGTTGGGGGGGGTAAGGGTTCCACATGTTTTTTCGATGTTTCCCGACACCCCACCCACTGGAAATCGAGGGTAAATCTGAGCCTTCGGGTTGGGTTGGGGTGGTTTGGTGGGTGGGGATCCTCGGGGCCTGGTGCCGAGAGCTCCCTGCGCGAGGAGCGAGCACCAGTGCAGGCGCACCGATCGGGGAAGAACTGCCCGCCACGACCTGCTGTTGCGTGACGCCGGAGGCACGGGTCAGGTGGCCATCCTCCCTTAATGCGGGATGACGATTAATAAAAAGAATGGGGGGGAACAATTAAAAAAATAGTTTCCTGCTATCTCTGCACAACTGTCTGACTGGAGGAGAACGATCTTAAAACATAGTTTTCCAGCCCGCGGCCCCTTCTTTCTAATCGTCGTCCCGGGCGCCGCCGCGTGAACACGACCCCCGGTCATTTATTAATCGTCACCCTCCCTTGCGGAACTGTTGGTACACCACCGATGGGGGACGCAGTTCGACAGGCAGAACGGCAGCAATCGATGCCAACTCCTCAGGGTGGTCTTGCCCGAGGCCCTAAGCCCTCCCTTACGCCCCGCCCTGCCCGACCCAGCCCCTCCATCGGCGCTCTCTGCCCGTCGCACACGCTCCAGAGCCCGAGCGAACCGGACGGGATCTTCAGGTCGCCCATGTATGCCTCCCCTCCAAGCTTTTCGATGAGGAGGATCAGGATGAGGAGGAGGGGGGAGAAGAAGCGGGGATGAGACGACCCAGAATGGGAGGACGAAAGGGAGGGCGACGACGATGATTTGGGTGACCCAAAAGGAGGTCCAACTGAAAGGGGGTGGTGCAGTAGATTTTGGGCAATTGTATTGCAAATGTATTGCGCCGGTTGTATTGCAAGGAATGTATGGTACACGGAAATACAGCAATACATTTGCGCCCCGGAATGTATTGACCAGAGCAAAGCAGAGCGGCCCGTGGGGAGCCAGGAAGTCCACCTGCCCCACATGTATGG